CACCTTTCGAACATTTAGTTCATTTTTGGAACCATCAATCTCGTCGGGACGCGCGAAGTTGGAGGCACGAATCCGAAAGGGGAAGTTCATATTCACAATTAGAACTTTCGACTCCGTCATAGAACATTCAAGCTCGTCCGAAGTCGATGACAAGTCTTGTGACATTGAAAGTTCAAGTTCATCTTCACAGAATTTTCAATTTCGACTTTGGAGCCTTCGAATTCGTCATAGAACTTTCAATTTCGTCAAGTACACCTTCAGACCTCCAATTTCGTCCTTTAGGTCCTAAAGTTTAGGAGAGTCGACTTCGTTGTCCGGAACTTCGATTTCGTGTTACCGGGGCAATTATGCCAGTACCCTCATGATGAGGCTTGTGTTTTGCTAACCGTGTTACTCGTCCGTAGGCGTCATGCAGAACCAAGCCCCTGTGACACCCATCCATGCGGCCGCTGCTTCCGCTCACCCCGTCATTATGACGGCGTCATAGCTCCTGACCGCGCACATGGCTCAAGAACACAACAAGGAGGCATCGTTCCGCTGTCACAGTTCCCATCGCGGCTCGCTCCTGCGGGCACGCTATTGGGTTGTTGGGTAAAGCAATCAATCACGAATACATGCCTGCCGGTGGTTGACTACGTCGTTTTGTTCTTCGAGCCAGTCATATGAGTGGCTGGCCGCACTAATCATGTGATATGACACTCAGAGTATCTTGTAAGCGCATTTTTCTTCGGAGCATTTTTTTTGACTTAGGCATTTAATTTTTCCATGCCGTGGCACTTTTTCTCCATGTCAAGCAGCTCCGGCGGAGCCAAACTTGAACCTGTCGCGCGCTTCGGTGAAATGTTGAACACGTTTCGCTTTGCTCCTGTTCTCAATGATGTACGCATGCGCAAAACCAACGCACAGAATATCGTATACGCCGTATCCTCATACCCATATCAGACCCATATCATATCTCGAGTATCCGACTCAGCAATGCTGTTTGTTCGCGTGTTGGCGCATCTACTCCTCTTATTCATGCCCAATCCCAAACTCGGTATCGAAGAAAAGCTTGGGAAATGGGCACAGGAGCACAAGTGGCTCGTGAGCAAGAGAGAACATGATGTCCTTCTCTATCGTTGCAGTATCTGTGCGTTGAACCCTGCTGCGGGTAGATGGAGCACTTGGCGAGATGCGGAGAGACTACAAAAGTCAACGGTCGTCACTCACTTGAACGACAACAACCACAAGGATTCAATTAAGCTTGCTGCTACCCGAGACACCAACAACGCTTACTGGCGGAATCAAGCATCTCGAGTGGATCAGGAGGAAGACCAAAAGTTGATGAGCGACACACCCCTCGTGCAATGTGCGTTGTGGTTGGCCCGTGAGGAAGTGAGCATCCAGAAGTTTGAATCGTTGGCGGATCACTGCAAGGCCGTTGGAGCTCCAGTGTCTACAGAGTTCCACTCTTCCCGTTATTCATCGTGGGAATTCACCGAAGCAATTGATATCGTGGTCATGCGGAAGAATGCAGAAACCATCAGAGCCTCGGCGATGCACAGTGGTATACTTGATACCACAAATGATAGAGATGAATGGTAAGCTCTACTTCGCACGTGAATTCTCGATTTCAAACATCACTGAGGATTTTTCAGGCTGGCAGTGTTAGCTCGCTGCGTGCTCAGCAATGCTCCCGGCACTGCAGATTCCGTCGAGACGGTCCTGTGGGATATCATAAGCGTTCCTGACGGAAAGTCGGCTACCATCTCTGCGGCCATCCGCCAACTCCATAACAGAGATGGTGTCAGTTTATCTAAATGCCTGGGATGGACCTCGGATAGATGCCAGGCCATGCTTACCGCAGCCGACAACGTCATAACCGACGAGCGCGATGGAGGATGGTTGGTATGCTACTGTGCCGCACACCGTCTGGATTTGGCAGTGTCTACAGATAGCTGGAAGAACAGTCCTTTGTGTCGACGGATTGAGCGGTGCCTGCGCATCGCGTATACTATTTTTAACCGTTCCGGTCAACGCCGGAGAGAACTGAAGGCCCTGGAAGTTGCCTATGGGAGGATCCTAATCCCAACCGCCTTGCAAGATGTGAGATGGCTGTCGAAACTAAACTGCTTGCAAGTACTGGTATCGTCGAAGGATGCCATAGCGGAGTACCTAACCAGCAAGCCCAACCTTTTGAGGGACAATGCTGATTACGAGTTTCTCCTCGAGACTATCGATGACTATTCCGAGGAGATGATGATGGTTGTCCAACTTCTTCGACCATGTGGCATCCTGACTAAAAGATTGCAAGAACGGAAGCTTGACCTTTGGGCCGCTCTTGCCCTCCTGGATTCAACTATTGTGCAGCTGAAGGCGATCGACAACTTGAGTGATGAAGTGCGAGGCCTGCGCCTGCGTTTCGCCGTCGATTGCATCTACACTTACCTGCACTCATACGTATAACAATGTCAAAAACAACAGGGGCAGCAGCAGATGTGACCGACGTGGATTTTCTGCGTGAAGTGCTCCGCACTTGGGCAGGAGCGAGGAGTAGGAGGCGTCGTAAGAAGAGCGCAGAGCCTTCGGCCAAACGAGTCCGGAGAGAGATTATGCCCTCTCCCACGGAGGGGAATGGTGAGGATGAGGATGATGATGATGATGCAGTCCGAGAAGCTCCTGCTGAT